AGTAAAAACAAAGTGAATTCACAAATTTCAACAATATAGTGGGAATAATTAACATAAAGATACTTTTGTTAATTATTTATGTTAGGTAAATTAGCAGCTAAGTTCCAAGAGATAAATTGGGTTTTATTTGTCATTGGGATTTCGTTGTTATTCGCTAATTAAAAAAAATAAAAATTACTGTCAAAACTCGATCAATATATTCACTTATAGACTCATTATATTTGGGATTAATTGCTAATAAAATCAAACATTTTCGGAATTTGCAATTATATGCACAATTTTTAAACTTAACAAATATGTACACCCTTTCAATATTTTTGACAATTAGATACACCGGACCTAATTAGAGGCTTTGCCTACTAACGTGGCTTTTCTGCTCACATGGTTGCTGACGTAACTAAAATCATTGCAATTTCATCTTATATTCATTCACAATCTTAAAAAAAAATATATATATATATATCTCACATATCTATTTTTTTTTTCACTTTTTCATCTTTTTTTTCAACTACATATCAAATCACAATAATAAACTTTGGCTTTTTTTTTTTTTTGGGTACAATAATAAACTTTGGCTTTGAATGTATAAAATTGACAGGAACATTGGAACACATATATTGTGGAAGAAGATTTCAACTTCATAAAGAGTAATGGTTTAGATGCTGTTAGAATTCCAGTGGGCTGGTGGATAGCCCAAGATCCTTCCCCCCCAAAGCCATTTGTTGGTGGATCTTTAGCAGCTCTCGACAATGCTTTCAAGTGGGCCGAGTAAGTAAAATAATGCTTCGCAAGATTTCGGTGTTATTTATTTATGGGAAATGCTAACGTCCCGTTACAGAACTATTTCGTCGTGTAACCGTCAGATCATCATGTAACCGTTCGAGGATAGTTGATCTAACGGTTATAAACCTCGACGAAATGGTTCCGCTCCCATTATTTATTTAGTTATTTGTTGTTAGTTTTTTTTATATCATTTTAAGAATAGTAGTTATTTGTTTTGACATATATTTGCAGCAAATATGGGATAAACGTAATTATTGATCTACATGCTGCACCCGGTTCACAAAATGGCTGGGAGCACAGTGGCACCAGAGATGGATCGATAGAATGGGGCCAATCAGACGACAATATTCGACAAACCGTCCACGTCATAGAATTTTTAACTGCTCGGTTAGTTAGTTATCTTCTCGACTGCTCGATCGCCATTTGTGGCCAATATTAATTAATAACCAATCAAACTCACTTCATCTTCGTATTTTATCTTTCGAAAAACATTAGATATGCCAAGAGGCCAAGTCTATACGCGGTGGAATTAATGAACGAGCCCCTCGCGCCTGGAGTGTCCCTAACAAACTTAACCAACTTCTACAAAGCTGGCTACAATGCCGTACGGAAGCACTCCCGTACGGCCTATGTGATAATGTGCAACAGATTGGGAGTAAACGAACCAAGAGAGCTATTCAGTGTTGCAAGAAGAATGAATAGATCTGTGATCGACGTGCATTTCTATAACATCTGGGGTAATTTCAGCCAATTCACCGTGGAACAAAACATTGAGTATATCTACAAGAACCGGACGGCCGAGTTGAAGCAGCTTCGAACCTCCAACGGTCCTCTCATTTTTGTGGGTAAGTTGAGTATATATATATATCTATTATATATATGAAGATATGTATATGTGGTGAGAGATGATTTTGAATAATATTTGAACAGGAGAATGGGTAGCAGAGTGGGCAGTAAAAAATGCGAGTGAGAGTGAGATTCGAAGGTACGGTGAAGCTCAACTGCAAGTGTACGGAAACGAGACGACTTTTGGGTGGGCATATTGGACACTGAAGAATGTCAATAAGCACTGGAGTTTGGAATGGATGATTAACAATGGATACATCAAGCTTTAAATATTTGTTTAACATTAATTAACGTCCACATATTTTCTTTCTACGTGTTGGACGAGAAACTCGATCAAATTTCACATACTGTCTTCGTCATCAACATTTACGTACGAACGTAGGCGAATTTTGTTAAGTTTATGTCCTCATCAGTTATTCTCATTAATATATAGTGTCTGATATCTTATTCTCTGTTTTTTCTGCTATGTTTGTTTGAGGCTATAATATGCAAATAACAGGAGAAAACTTTAAAGACTAACAATTACACTTTGTGATGTGGCAAAAGTAACCAGTAACTTAATTCAA